TTCTTCTTTTTGTGTCTTGTAGGAAACTGAGCCATGTTTTTAGTGTGTTCCTAAGTCTTATGACCTACGCTAAAGCCTGTGCTGTATGACCCTTTCATCATTTTCAGCGTGGTTGCTTTGTCAAGTAGATGGGAACAGGTATGTCAAAAAGACCAACCACTAACAGGCTTTCTTTTTCTCATCTCCAGCATGGAGAAATTGGTGAGTTTTTTTCCTCCTCTTACAAAAATGCAGTTACACCAATTATGAAATGGGCACTGTGCTAAGTGTTGGACAAAGAAATGCAGAGGTTTTGCCTGAAAAAAAAGAAAAACAACCAAGAAAAGTCCCAAACCACTGCAGGGTGGGCACAGGTGAAACCAGGGGCACTTAAACACAAATTAAGCCAGAAAGGGAGCAGCAACATATATATGTTATATCCTAGTAAAGATTTCTTTACCTCTGCAATTAGGTGGAAGATGGCTTGACTGAGAAAAGGCTGTGCTTCAGGGAAGAAAAGTGGTGTAAGATGAAGGGAGGCAAGTAGGATGAAAAAGACAGAGTAGAAGACAGATGGGGATTCTGTTGTGCATCATGACCAGGATACTTCCATTAGGGATGAGAGAAATAGTTCAGCTGAAAAAAACATTTCAAAGATTTTTTTTTTCTTTCACAGCATGTCCAGTATAATTTGAAAGAAAATTTTGTTTTGTCAACCAAATCAGGAGCTGTGTGGTTCCCTGGGGTAAAACCCCTGGTGCTACTAAAGAAAAGAGGAGTTTTGCTTTGTCTCATCTTTGTGGCAGGCATGGGCATAAGCCTATTCTTAGGTGTAGGCTCTTGGATTAGGTTTGGCTGTCAGCTATGTTCAGCATATTTTGGAAATGCCTGCTTGACCCTGCAGGCTGAGCTGGGAAATCAGAGCTTGCTACTCTCTATTTATACTCTGTGCCTTGCAGGTCTGAGAGTGGACAATACACATGGTGAGAATTAAAAAAGGAAGAAGAAAACAGATCACATGCTTTAGACCTTTCAGACTAAGCAGTTGCATCTGAGTACTCACCTAAGCGAATACATTTCTACTGGTTTTGGCTTCTGGGGAGGGGATGTCTTTCTCTGAGGAACTGTCTGTGGCTTTTTGCATTTTTCAGTCTTGAACAAACTTCTATTTACAATACAAAAATAATAACTAAGCTGCACATTTTTCATTCTGACATGTGAAATTAAAAATAATTGTGCTTTGCACAATTAGGCCAAGATGGTAATGCCCTTCTGTTGTCTGGGTACATTTTTAGTTCAGGTTAAAAAAATTCCTTTGCACTGTGCTGGGTGGGTTGCAAAGCTGTCTTATGGACTTACCTCTGTTCCCACAACAGTATCAGTAAAGGCTGACAGTCATTTTGGCCATGTCTAGACAGTGGTGCAAGACATAATGTTGGCATGTGCCATGACAACCTTCCATTTGAAAACAAGGTCAAAGAGTGCTTCTGGCATTGCTGCAGGTAATTATCTGTCTGAGAGTTGACAGTAATCTCAACAGACACAAATTTTTATATGAAGTGTGTTCAATATAAGTATGTAATTTAACCAGCTATTTATTTGTTTTACTTGGTACCCCTTCCAGGGAATAAAGCAAAACCTGTTTTCTTTTACTCTGCAGTGTGACTAGAACATTGCCCAGTATGGCAAGTGAGTGATAGCACAGACAAGAGAAAACAGAGTATGTTTTCTTTAAGAAATATTTGGCATGCAAAACAGAAAGCCCTCTGTTTGAAACTCTGGCAGTTCGACTTACGGCATCTTAAAACGTGAAAACAAGCACATCAGCAACTTCCTGTTGCTGGCAGCAATGTTGAAAGGTAACTAAGAGTATGGAGAGATAATGCAATGCCCATCTGGAAAGCGTGCAACAGCTTCTTCAGAAAAAGCACTTTGCCTTGGAACAAACCAATCCTATTGCTGTCAAAAAGGAGAGAACTATGAGAGCAAATTGTAGTCAGAGATTCTGTTCCCATGGCAAGAGAAGGCATCTCCTCCTCCTAAAAACACATGACACTTCTTTATTTTTGCAGATTTTATTGTGGTGAGGTAAACTGATGCATAAAATGTTGTTTTTTTTCTCAGTGTAGGCCACCAGATCACAAACTTGTTAGTTTCATGTCACTGCAGGTTGTTTGTGGAAACAGGAAGAGTACCTGGATCTCCTCACTGTTAGTCCCATGCATGGGTCACCACACTAGACACTTCTGTGCCTTAAATTTCCTGTGTACCACAAACTGAGTAAGTATCTAAGTCTTGTCTCTGCAGCTAATATTTTTCCCTGAATAGAAGTCTAGTGACTCTGAGCATGAAAACAGCCTGGAAAGAGCTTGCAAGTGACTACTGCTTCTTTGGTCCCTCTTGCTGAGACCAAATTGTGAATTACTTTCAGGGAAGCAAGAAGTGTCCATGATGAAGTGCTTAGCCTCAGTCAAGATGAGGTCTGTAGTGCTGCTGCAGTTGTCTGTGACAGTTTTCATGCTGATTGGAACCTTGTGGGATAATTTTAATTGGCCTGGGGAGCCACTGGCTGATGGCAAATAAAAAAAGGCAGCATGCTTGACTGACCTCTGTGAACAGATGAAGTCTTTGTAGGATGACTCTTAGCACTGCTGTGGGATCTGATACAGTGGCAAATCATTGTCCAAGTCCTGTGGTTTCAGCTTCTGATGAGCACCTCAATTTGCCTTTGCTGCTGCCATTTGTAGCATGAATCCCCCTGGAGAGAGGAATTACAAGTTGTTAAAGGGGAACTGCAGATTAAGAGCAGAGAACGAAAAAGGGAGAGTCAAGATGAAGGGGTGGAAGTGGAAGGCAAAGTGCAAAACCTAGGAGAATACTAGGGAAGAAGAGAAACACACAACTGAAGAGAAGGATGACAGAAAAGGCTTGGATCAAATGTTATAACGTTCAAGAAGATACAGCTGAGAAAGAATAATGGAGGAGGAGGGGGAGGGAGTGATACTTGATGTTTTTTTCTCCTTGGAATGCTTCAGTAATGAGTTATCCTAAATATTCTTTTAAGGGAGACAGGAAGGGAACAAGAGGAAGGGGTTTCCTTAAGAAGATGGGACATTCGCTTTGCTGTCCCCTTTATGCACTTCTGATCTCCCATCTCTTCCCCACTCCCCATTATCAATGTCCTAATTATTCCCAAACTGATTGCCCTACCCACTGAACGGTTTCCCTCCTCCTTCTTAATGTTACAAGGGATTTTTCCCTGGTAGGCAAAACCATCCTGTCTGCACTTGTAATTGTGTCTGTGTTGTTATGGACAAGGGTCTTTTCATTCCAAGACTCAGTGAGCTATTTTGGCCAAGCACACTGAATGAAGCATTTATTACTTTCCTTCTAATGAAGTTTCCTATTACAGGACACTTCATTTTTAAAAAGCTGAGATTAAATAGCCCAGGAAATGTTGGACCAATATACTACAGAAGTGGTTGCTTGTCATGGTATATAAAATATTCCATGATGCTATCCCATAAGGGACATTAATATTCTTGCTAAGTCTCAGGTAGTTGAGGTTCAAGAGACATACACATTAAAACATACCACTTAAACTGAAACAAGCATTTTCAGATGAAAAGGCAGCATGGAAGGAATCCAGTTCTGGAAAGGACTTTAGAATCCAGAGAATAGTTTGGTTCATCTCTTTGGGAATAAACAACTTCTACGTTGCCCTTGAAACCAGGTTATTTTGGGAAGTATCTGTTTAGAGAGATTTGTGTAGGTGAAGTAAACTCACTTAATAATTTTGTAATAGCTTCACCGGGACTTGATCTTGTGGTGCAAAACACATGCCTAGAAATACAAGCACTAGAAATTAGCAGGGCAACACAACTTACTGGAAGTTACAGATCAAACAAGTGAAATTTGGTCTTCCATCTTCTCCTGGCTTGCATTAGGACTGGTTGGAGTGTTTCATCTGGAGACAGTGAGCCACTTACCAGCTTTGTCCCTTTTTATATGTCCTACTGAAGGCTTGCTGCATTTCAGTGCTAGGGGGTCTTCCAGAGGCAACTGTGCCAACTGTGCTTTAGCTGAGCATATGGACACAGACATGAGGGGAAGTAGTTTGAAGCCTGCTACTGCTGTCCTATCAACTTTTTTAAAGAAAATGGTGTTACATGAAAAACAACATACTTCAAGAATTTATCTGTGGGCATGTTTGTAACATGGTTGCTCCCTCCCCACCCAATCTGAGCCTAAGGAATCATGTTTAAGCTTGCATCAGCATGCAGAGCATCTCACAAGTACAACTACAGTATTACTTTCCCAGATGGAGTTCACTGACAAGTCAGGCAGAAAGATGTGCCTCCAGAGTCAGAACTGGAAGCAGGATTTGTATGTTAATATAAAATTTGGAAATAACCAGGTAGATACGTTGATGGTGCAAACATAAACTGCTGTATTCTACAGCCTTCTGCTGGTCTATGACACTGCAGATTTAATTAGCTTGATTAGGGATAGGTGAGAAATCCTTGTAAAATCCATGCCAGTGGTGTTTTGAGGTCTACAGTAGCAGTATGCCCTCACTGGCATGGAAGACACCTGCTGCAGGACTGCTACTCAGGTTTTATCTCTGGCTGTCTTTATACTGTTTTCCCAGGAGGAGGTCAGCTGAGTTTGTTGTTGTGTCAAAACCCAGTATCAACTGTAAAGTAGGACGTAGGCCTCTGGCTCACGTGGCAGTGTGCTTTAGACGGGAGGTGGCTCCTCCATCTGCCTTTATCACTTCCAGAGCCCTCAAATGCCTAGGGACCACTCTTCCCTATCTTCCTGAACACAGGTTTCCTCAAAGTACTGCAAAGCCGGACAAGAAGCAGTGTCGTCCCTCTGAGACAGCACAGCACGAGCACTTACTCCACCTTGTTTCCTTTCTTTATCTCATATTTTGTGCAAGTAACTGGGACTGAATTCTTAGAAGAAATGAGATTAAGCTGTGGAGTTATTAGTTCAAGTAACCCTGTAATCTTCTTTACTTTCAGCTGCAGGGCTGCTGTCTCCATACATTCTTATACAGAACTCAAGGAGCTATATGCTTTACCAGTGTGAGAAACTATGCTCCTTCTTCAGAAAAGCTCACCTAACAAGGGCAAGCTGCAACATGGAAGTTGGAGAGAAGACTAAATAGAGGATGCTGGACAAGTTAACAGCAAACTGGACTCTGAGACTAACTTGAATATGGAAAGGGTAGAGTTCTTACTTGCACGTATAGCATATTCCATTCCCCTTTATTTATTAAAGGAACTCCTCCTATTTGGATGACTTAGAGCTAATATGATATTTGTACAAACCTGAGCATTTTATATTTCCTATATTTGGGGAAAGAGGAGAGAAAGGGCATCTAATTTTTTTAACCTCAATGTTTCTTTTATGGAATCTGATTTATTTTTTTTTTCCATTTACATTGTGAGGAGAAACAGGTTTTGAAGATACTAAGAACCCATAAGTCTGCAAATAGTAGTGAATCCCTGTATGTATAGACTGTCTGTACAAAATTAATTTCTGCAAATTGAAAGCATGAACTTATATAAACATAAACCTCACAGCAGCATGAAAGACAAATAAAGCCTTACATTTTAAATGGGAAACAAATTAAGAAAACCTTTGCCAACTTTCTCCAGCTCTGCCCAGTTGGTAGGCACTCCAAATTTTCCTTTTGGAGGAGATGCTTGCTGGGGAATGAAGAAAACACTGCGCTGTGATAAACCAAGACAGCTGTTTAAATTGCTTACTGTAGTATTAAGCTGTTCTTTGTACTTTTGTTTTACTGTTTGTGCCTTTTTCTTCCTGTAGCTGCCTAACATTGATTGGTGTATGAGGATACAAAACAAATGGCTGGAATTATATTTGAACATGGCTTAATTCTCTACTTGAGGAGACAGTGGAAGAAGAGAAATTAGAGATGTGCTGCCTGGTTTAATCATTGTAAGTGATAGTTACAAGTAGCAATTTCTGACTTAAAATAATGCTGCACATTTGCCTGCCTTATGCAGACTTGAAACATTCTTTTAACTTCCTATCAATTCAAAGTGGACACTTAGACAAGCTACTGCTGAGCCAAATGATAGAATAAAGGTCACTGAGTTTCAGGGCTGAGTTAGATGGCTCTAGCTGAACCTCTCCCAAAATAAATAAAGAGAATTGATCATTACAGATATTTACTCTGAGAATTACGATACTCAACAGTGAAATTCCCACTGGGTCCCCCAGCAGTATTATATTTATATATACACCACCTCGGGAGGGAAAGCCTAAGAAATGGTAATGCCAAGTTGAGGCTGCCACCTTAAGCCAGTTCTTTTGTGCATTAGTGTGCCTTTAACAGTGTGACATACTGCTTCTCATCCAGAATATATTGGGCAATTCATTCTACAGTTTTAGAGACACTGTGTGTTCTGTACTTCAGAGAACATCAAGCCATTTTTTGTCTCCTTCATCAATGACAGGCAAGCTTATATCCTGTTTTTAATGATGCCGCACATGCATTTTTCCAGAGACAAAGGATGTTTGGGGAAGAACTGTAGAGCACAGCTCAGCAGAAGATTCCTGCTCCCATCAGATGAGGGTATTGTGGTGGTTTATCAGGCTGGTACTCTGTAGCATGTTTTTTACCTTCTCATAGGTTTTAGCTGTAGGATGCTACTATAAAGACTTTGTTGCTAACTCTGTGTTAGATGCCTAGTTCTCCCTTTTCTGTCCCAGGGTAACAGGGAATGTGGGATGACCATGTGCCATCAGTGTCCTTGGGATGGATAGTGGAGGTTGTCCTCTGGCCCTTGGGGTGGGGAGGGCCCCTGCTGATGCATGAAGGGTCATTCGCCCTTCATGACCATGGTTCTATCTCCACTGGCACCTTTCAGAATGCCCAGGCTTAGTATTTATGCACTGGAATATTTCAATGCCTGCAGATGTATGTGATCATCAGAGCTGAGAAGACACACCAGAGGATAAGCTGCACCCCATGAAGGGTTGACGCTGAAGGGTAAACTCACTCTCCTTTTTATGCTAAACGATGCTGATGAACACAAACACCAGTTGGTGCTGTAATAAGAACCTATGATGAACCTTGTGGGAAAACACTTCTTTTTGTGCTTTTGCAGAAAACAGTGCAATCCCTCTGGGCCCTCTGTCATTGGTTAGCAGCATTAATGATTCTGAACAGCAAACCCACATTTATGGGTTCTTTTGTCTCAAAGTTGTGCAACTTACCTCATTTCAGATGAGTCATGATTTCATTTGATAATAGAATGTAACTTTGAACCTCAGACATAATTGCAGAGAAAAGAAGAAAACCTGTGATGCAGCTAACTGTCCCCAGTTGTTCTCATGCAGGTTTTTAGTGTAGGCAGTACTGATTTCTGCCTTAAACATGTACACGTGTTCACCGTGGATATGGAAATGTTTAAGCTGACAATTTGTATTATGCTCTCTCCATTCTTAAAAAGCTGAATTTGTATCATTGCACAAATGGCAAGGTAGCTCCTCACATCTTATTCTATTACACAAGAGTTACATAGCACTAAAAGAAAGAATTTATTTTTCCTTCTCTGGTAAAGGAGGCAACTTGCAAAACTCTATCAATACAGTTAACATCCCACTTTACTTATTTATCCTTCATGACTGGGTTCTGCAAGAATAAAGGCCTGGATCCCATTTCTGTAGACTACTCAGAGGTCGTATCATGAAACTGTGACTTTTGCCACACAGTTGTCAACGTGCATCCTAATGTGCTTTTCTGGTAGACACAGGTGCCTTCAGTGGCAAGTCTCTGCTAAGACAAGCTAGGCTGTATATTCTTCCATGTATTAAAGCATTTTCTGTATAAAAGCATAGTGTTCACAAATGGAGTCATCTGCTCATCAGCAGCTAAAGTTGACAGAAGCATAGCTAGAAATTTCCATACCTTATCCAAGGAATAAGATATTCACTGCTTACTATAAATGAGAAAAAAGGAATTTTTGCAATGCAATGCACCAAATGTCACATCTGAGTGCCTAGTGTTACTCCTTGTGCAAACAAGTAATTGAAGAAGTGAAGGTGATTGTAACAATATCGATTCCCTTTACTGTTGACTTCCCCTACAAGCCACGTGGTTGCATGTGTTCCATGCAAAAAGACCACTACAGCTGAACCACGTTAGCAGAGAACCACAGTTTCAGCGGAAAAGTTGTTTGTATCTTGGCTCTGGACAGTTGTCCATTTTAATAAAGGAGGTATCAAAGGCACAACACGGAAAATGTGCTCAACTGTCCTTTGCACTTTAGCAACATCTCCCCCATGAGCTAGAACTACTAAATTTTTCACAGCTTCTGACTGCTTAGAGACCAGAGCAGTTTCTCAAGCTGTTTGGTGCACCTAGACCAGCAAGGCAGCATTAACAGGCACTGTAAACATTAGCTTCTTGCAGCCTACATTGCAAGTAAGCCCACCTCTGGTCATGCTCAAGGCTGCCATTGCCTTCTTTTGGGATGCTATTTCACCACGGATATTTAAGCACAGATGCGGCTGTCAGTATGCACTTCTTGGTGACAGAGAAAAGCGGGAAGATACTTGGGAAGGTTCTGCTTTGCTCTGTCACACCCCATGTTTTTTATTTCCAGGTAACTCAGAGTTATTAACTGCAAAGTACCTGGCTTCATAGGGACAGTGGGGCTTGAAAATGCTTTTGGAAATGACACTTAATGAATCAATGAATCCAAACTAAATGGAGCACAACTGTGGCTTTTTTTCTTTTTTTTTTTTTTTCTCATTTCTCAAGCAATAGATAATGTAGAAATCTAAGAGAACAGTAACACTATTTCCCTCAATAGAAGAATAGAAGACAAATCCCCCCCAACAGGTTTTGCTTTTAAGTAAATGGGTCATTTTTTGGAAAAATGTTTACTTCTCATTAGTGTTTAACAATTCCAGCACACAGAGTTATGCAGGCAGATAAGCTATTTAGGTAAATTAAAATATTTATACAACAATATTAGAATATATTGTGTATGAAGTCTAATTTAGTAACTGACACTGATTCATCTAGACTTTGAAAGCAAACCACAGCAGATGCTGAAAAGGAGAAAGTAAACAATATATATGGAAATAATGAAGACACTTTTCCCACCACCTGGAATGAAGCACTAAAGTTAATAGTGCTGGTTAGCAACTGAATAATTTACCAAGATGCTTGAGGTAATTATGCCTCTTCTTATTATAAAAATAGATCTCCTTTGCATATACCTAAGCTCTTAATCTCTATAACCTTAGTGGCAAAGAGTTCTACAGGTTAGCCCAGTATTCTTATACATACATAATATTATTTTTCTGTGTATTTATGTATCTATCTCTGTTGTTGTATATTTATACCTTTTTCCAGACACAGCTTAAACCATCTGTGTTTGAGTGTAATTGCCTATCTTAGCTTTCGAATACAAATACAGAGTGTGCTAAATAAATATTCTTATATTATCCATTATTGTGTATACCCATACCAGGGTCCTAGACTTATCGACATTGCCCAGTCCAAATTTTACTGACTTTCTTCACACACTCTTTTCCTGGGGTTTCTTATAGTGATGCTGACAGGTATCAGCTGTGGACATAGCTGCCTTTGATTTGGATGTGGCACTTTGCTGATTTAGTTTCTAGACATGAGAGTTTGATACAGGGCAGGATAGCAACAACTAAACAGCAATGCCATGCTACTCTCTGGGTATACCCACTGCTCACAGGGGAAAGTGGAAATGACCTCTTTGATCACAGATGAAGCACTGGAGCAAGAGTTTGAATAAAGATTTTGACTTGATTGATTTAATTCAATCAGTTTAGAAACTGCTTCAGCAGTGAGCACAATGAAGTGATTTAATTAAGCTCACATCTAAACCAGTGGTGCTACACTGGAGTGAATGTCAGCCCCTAGAATCCCATCACTACAGGCAGTGGCAAATACCGGTGTTGCATTCTTATCATTGCTGGGTGCTCCTGTCAAACCTGGTCTTGGTGCAGTGCACAACTGGACTATCCCGAAAACCAAAATGAAAGACCAAGCAGAAGTTAAGTTTCCCCTTGCTCCCACAGAATAAACAGCTGTGCCAACCCTTGATCCTTTACCTCCTATTTGCCTCTCTGTGCCAATGCTTCTCCGCTGGGGCATGTGTGGGAGAACAGCTGACACTGAATCAGCTCTATTTTCCTATGCACCAGCTCTCCAGTCATGTTGGTAAGAGTTGTAGCCGAATGGAAGCTACTTGTGCCACTGGGATTACTAAACTCAGTGTGGAGGATGAAGCATTCCCTTTATGCCCTAGCTGGAGCATAAAATTACAGATGATATTCATGACTAATCCCGGGGCTAGTTGGCATCTTCTCTCATTCTGTGTTTTGACAAATGGTCAGAAGTTCATAGCCCTGTGACTATGGACAAAATGAACTACAGATGAGGCAGCAAACAAACGTGTAGAATTTAAGTGCTAAAAACCTGTGCCTGGTCAGTTTGACGGTCTACAGGTGAGCAGGAATTGCTCATGAAAGATGAATCATTTACTGCTAGAGAGCCAGGCTCTGGTAGCTGCAGTCTAAAGCACTTACGACTTTTTGTTTCTTTCTGCTTTGCCAGCAGTAACAGTGTTTACACGGCCAGTGCCTAGGTTTTGTCACAGCTCCTTGGATTGCTTTACTCATCTCCTCTCAAGGACACTGCAAAGTCTTAATTCATTACCATTTGTAAAGATTAAAAGCGTTGCTATTATGTGGTGACACTCCAGTTGATAATGACTAGCTGTAGGCATTTAATTATGACTAGTGTAGGCATTTCCTAGAGGCTAATAAAAGGCTGGGGGGAAGTGATAGGCCAAGATCCTGCAGAGAAATTGTTATTGCAATAGTGAGCTGAGAAAAAAAAAATACAGGGTAAAAATGCAGAAAGGATTTTTTTTTTTTTTTTACAGGTTACATAATTTTATTGGCATTGGAAAGTCAACACATGCTCTGAAAAGAATGCATGTCCTGAAAGCTTGTCAGATTGTTTCAACCATTTTTCAACTTCCTAGCCAGGTTAAAAAGTGAACTTGAAAAACACTTTATGCTTTTGCTGGGTTTAGCTCACAGTCCCTCTTTCCAAACATATCCCATCACAAAACTTTATTTATGGGCCAATGTTGGTATGTCTGCTTCATGAGTTGTTCTTCCTTCTGCTGTTCACGCTGATTTTCATGTGTTATGAAAACTAACCTATACTACTTTACTGACTTTTCAATAAAAAATGGAACAATTTCCTTAGTCAAGTCAACATGGCAGCAGTTTAAAGGCCCTGTTCAACCAAGCACAGAGGAACACAAGAGTAAATGAAAGCAGCCAGCACATAGCAGGCTGGAACCACTGGTTGTTAAGTTCTGTGACATCTTTGTTACATGTCACATTAAACTGGATTGAGTTAGTGTTTCTTTGTCCTGAATGCATAGAGTTGAGAAGAATCTACTTTGCTCCATCACCATGCACTAGGGAACGTCATGTGTATCTACAACTCAGCTTTGGTCTTTTCTGAACTGATACATGTCTATTTACCCTTTTAAAAACACCCAAATGAAATGTTGAGAAGTTTAAAGCTTCTACAACCTTTTTGTTAGGGGACTGTGTTTAATTAGTTTTCTTCTATTGCTTCCTTACCCTAATTATAGCAAAGGTTTTCACTGTCTAGTTTAAATGTTCTCTCCTGTAAATTAAGACAAATTATTCTGTATTCCTAGTAGTAAATATTGAGAAACATCTATCATCTTCTTGTAATTTACAACCTTTGCATAGCAGAAAATGAACTTATTCTTTTCTCCCCTTCTCCAGAGGCATAAGACTTGTTTAACCTTTCTTCAGAGGATGTATTTTCTAAACTCCTTATATTTGCTGCATTTCTTTGAACTAATTATGTTAAATAACTTGTCTTAATGTTTCCATCTCAAAGTTGTATATTGTTTCCTTCCTAAACTGTCCATCTTTTCACTGCATCAGAAAATGTGGCTGTTAAGTCTGACTTTCAGAAGTCATCAGGTGTCCTGTACTCCTTTATCCCCAGGTGTAAGTATTATGATACTTAATGAAGTTTTCTGAAGTCCCTCACCTGTGCTTTGCCACTACTACTTTCCTTACACAGTGAAATTGTTTTGTGACTGCTTTCACCCAATACATTTCACTCTTCTACATTTATAGCTACTTTCACCATACTAATCAAAACCAGATCCAACATATTTCTTCCCCTAATAACCTTCTCTGCTTTCTAGAATAGAAAGTTATGCCCATCTTGTGCCAAAAACTTATCTATCCTATTTAGTATGCACTGGGGCTGCAGAGCATGAGATAACAGTCATTAGAATATGCAATAGCTCTGTCACTGTCTTTTTGCACAGTGGAACAATGGACAGCCTATTTCAGGAAAGTGTTGCAAAATTATAAACAATTATTACAGTATTTCTTTATCTACTTAGATCTGGCATAAACTTGCTGCAATTCTCTTTTCTCCATTTTTCCCACTACTTCTGTTGTGGCATGTAACTTCAACCACAATAGCAGCAGATGAAATTCTTCCTTAGCCTGGATGCAAATGCTTTTGGCTAAACAACATCCAAAAGTCTTAATGGTTTTTCTAACCAAACAAAACTAGAACTGGAGTTCACACCTCCACAGTCCTTGGAACATACATTCAGCTAAGAGCTTGTAAGTGGAAATAACCTGTTTGCAAAATTAAACAATCTATAATTAAGATAAAAGTATTTAGAAGTGGGCTTTTACAGATACGAGCCAGCCAGCAATGGCATCTGCAGCCATTGCTGTTGCACCATTTTGATGCTTTAATTTGCACCACCACAAAGGCTGCTCAGTCGTGATCCAAAAGACATTCTTTCTTCCTAGGCACTCAGTTCCAAAGATTTTTTCTCTCCCTTTGAGCTTATAAAACTATATAAAGAAGTAAGTATTTTTAGCATAGGACTGATGACCAAAGATATCATTGTAGTTCTCTTAAGACCAAAAAATACACAGGGAAAAAAAGTCCACTGCTCATTTTATAGAACAACTGTAACAGTAAAACCTATCTCTGCAAATAGGGTAAAAAGATGTGAAATAAAATGATTTCTTGAACCTCAATGGCTGTGGCTTTTTTATTACATTTTACTGCTACAAGTAATTCTGGGCATACCAATGCTTCTGGGGGGTTTTGGTGATGCTTGGATTGGGTTTTTTGCTATAAAATCATGTATTTACATCTCAAAGGGACTTAAATAAAGGATGCTATCTTCCAATTTGTATGGTGCTGAAATTAAGGTACCACTCAGACCTGATGTTTGTGCTTGACCTTTGCCTTTTAGCCTTCTTTTTACCTCAAGAGCAGCTGCAGTAGCAGGAGAGTAGTACTAGTGTTGGAATCTGTGCATTTTAGTTTTCTTGTAACAAAGTGTAGCTTTCACACATGGGAAAGTTGTGCCACATTCAGACCTCTTGTGGACTATCAGCAGTTCCTTTATAAACTGTGGAATGAGGTTTAAAGACTGCTTAGAAAGGCCACATGTTTTGGTCACATGCATAACTCTTTCAAGAAGAAAATAACTTTCTGAAACTTACTCATTAAATAAGTTAGAATGGTGGCCTTCCTTCATAAGGCTGCACAGCGCCCACTTCATTTCTATAGAGAAACCTCTTAGACATCTTTAGGACTGCAAAAGTTAATTGTTAAAGCAAGGGTAAAACTAGGTTTTGTTTGTAAGAGAGAATGAATTAAAACAGACTGCTGGTGAGCTGGGAATAACTAGGCACCTGGAAGGGAGAAGGCAGGAGAGTTTGACTTCAAGAGGTCAAATACAGATCAATACACTCTTACAAAGAAGCAGCAATATGCTGCCCTATCAAACGGAGGAAAAGACCTTGTCATCAGGACGAACATAGGAAACTGTTTTCCAGAAGGGAAACAGACTATTAGTAACATGAAGCAATTTACCAGGTCAGGATGCAAACAATTCTGAGCTTGTAATAACCTCTTTCCTATTTTTTTCCTCCAGGATTTCTAGCTAGTACTCTTACACACGCATCAGCCCTTATGTTTTCCCCACTTGCCATTTCAGTTTTGAACCAGCTGAGGGTTGTCACACCAACAAGCAATTTGTACTTTCTTTGGTCCCAGTGCTGGCTGTAGCACAAATGGCTGAATCTCATGTTGCAACAAAACACTCTTGACCTCAGTATCAATGAGCACTGCGCTCTGTGTCATCACAGCTGATGTCAGCTATTTGTACCTTAAATATTTTCACCAGCATGCTCCTCAGTTTGTTTCCGTTTGAATGTCAGAAATGTTACTTAGTTGTTTTCCACAGCTCCCTTTGTTTCTGTCCCGATTAGAATAGCTGACAGCAACGGAAAGGAATTAAAATCTGTCTCTGTTCACAAGGTCAATGCAAAGCCTTTGCCTCTGCTCAGATATTCCAAACTGGAGGAGATGACAGAGAATGCATTTGATTTCTAGCTCATTTGTGCTATCTCTCTGCATCAAGTGATTTCAGTCTTCTTCCTTACTTTTTTTGTGGGCTTCCCCCCCCAGTCAACATACTTTCCATGCCAACATTTTTCACAACCTATCAAAATCTTTATGTTATTTTGTATACATAATTAAGCAAACAAAAAAAGCCTTTCACTGCTACTACTGCCTCTGAGATGCGGAGCTGGGATACGATTTGATGCTAGAAAAAAGCAAAAGCAAATCAAAACCAGTCGTCTCCTGGGGTTTTCTTAGCTTTTAGTTCATCATAAACATTTTGTCTGGTCTTAGTAACTGTGTCTAAAACAGACTGCATCAGGGTCAGCTGCATGAAACTAAGATATGGCATTTGCTAAGATAGGAAGATTGTATGCTACTTCTCTGTGTAAAATGATGTTTCTCAAGGCTCGGAAAACAAGCATGCAACGAGACAGTAAGAGTGGGGGAAAAAGAACGAAAACTGCTCATTGGGAAAACCTTCTCTCTGGTAGTGCTTTATTCACACTGACTGAATGATTACACGATAGAAAAGAACCCTCACATACCTGAAGGAGAACAAAATTTTGCTGCACTAATCACTGAACACTTGAAAGTATATGTTACAAATAAAAAAAAAGAAAAAAAAAAGTTTTCATGTGTAACCAACATATTTCTAGAAAATCAGATTTCTTTCTTTTCTAACATTCATTACCTGGGTAATAAAAAGAGTTTGTTCAGAAAAAGCAAGAGACATTTCCAAAACAGCACTCACACAAAGAAAGTTTTCTACTTCTATCTTGCCTTAATAACTATTTTCTGTAGGGGATATTAAATGTTTTTGCAGGAAGCTGTTTTAGTCCCATGGGACTGATTTAAAACCAATTTATGTATTGTACATGGGAAAGATTTGTGAGTAGAGAGAGATATAAGGAAAGAAATGCTTAAGAAACAGTAATCAAGGTAAAGGCATTTGATCTATTCAGCAGTTTTAAAGATTAATCATCACGTTTCAAACTCCAAGCACATGTGAAATATCTGATGTTTTATTTTCAAGTAATGTTCTTACCTAGAGCTTTCCTCCATAAATCCTCAGAGGATTTTACAATGGAGTAAGAAAATACTACTAAAATAACTAATTTTATATATGGAGATGAAGCAGCAGACTTAAAGTTGCCTTATCCTGTTTTATAGATGGGAACTTTTTTTGTCTACTGAGATGAGGCAGAAAGGTTGAGGCTCTGGCAGTCAAGAGTCAGGAAGGGGATCTAGATTTCCAGCACTCTGAATAAAGTTACAAATACATTATCTGACCCAAGCTATGGCTCTCCCTGTCCCAACACCATCTTCTCCACCTCTGTAGTTGATCTCTCCTCACTTCAGGATTCATACTTTTGATTTTCTGTTTTTTTGTCGCTGGATTTTATTTCTGACCATCTATTGTTTCACACCAACCAGAAAGTAACTGCATTTGTGGGTACTGTCAAGTTTTTACAGCTTTTTTCTGTTTTGTTTAGGGTTTTTTTAAGTAATGCAAAGACCCTTCTGATCTGTGTGTCACACTGCCAAGCATGTGTTACATTGAATAGGTTGGTTTCACTGCACACATTCCAGATGCAGAAGACTGAAGCATCCCTGCTCTGCCTGAACCAAACAGGAGGTTTCATTTCAGCAAGGGAGGGAAGAGTTTATTTTGGGTTTCATACCCTGAGGGCAAGAAATCTCACAACATTTCCTTCCTGGAAATTAATACAAGTTCTAGAAATGCCAAAATGTTGCTCTGCTCAGGTGCAGAATCAAATCAAAGTCAGTGGGCCCGTTCACATACTCAAAATTATCACTCATTTACCTGCTTGGAAGACTGGGCCCATATTTTTTAAGTGATCTGTCAAAATCTGTCTCTTCATTCACCTGTACTTAATAAAAGGAAATCCTTTACAGGAAACCTCCTCAAACATGCTGGAGTCTTACAGAAAAAGACTATTTGGATGTCAAGTTTGTGATTCAATGGGCTGTGGAACATTGTAAGGTCACCACAGTGTGGCTCGTTGAAATTACTCATGAGAGACCAGTGAGTTCTGCAGCCATCTACATGTTCATCGCCACAACTAGGTGTGCAGTACTGATATACTTGTTTGCCAGTGATGCCTAGTAGTTGACCTCGACATCCCCTAGTATGTCAAGACAGAGATAGTACCATTAAACCCAGTATAACAAGACTGCTTATGCTGTCTGGCCTATAAATAACTCCAGCAATAATTCAACCTCTTACTTTAAAAAGCACAAAAACACATGAGTGGGGATAGGAATCCCCAGAACAAATAAAAATTATCCTGTTGACCTAAAAGTCAATCCTACCCTAAAAGTTGCAGTGACTTTTAGAAAATGCATTATTTTTTCTGATTTTGTTACTCACTGGTACTAAACTTACATGCTTTCAACCTAGCTGCATTCTTCTCAGAGGCCTAATTAAAAGCATCTATGTGAGGAGTGTAAGCACATCGCACTGTAAGAATGCTCTCATTAATGAAATGCTGCTGATCATGCCATTCCTCTCACAGCACTTTGCTCCTTTCATCTGCAGTCAAAATACCATTCTCTTCTAAGGAAAACTGTGAACTGGAGTCTCTGTTCTTCTGGAAAGTTGATCTCTTACTGAAAGGATGTCAATGACTACAGAAACGGGACTCCTGATGTGAATAACTGTATCAGTGCTCTCAATGTACGGCAAGTTGTCACTTCATTAGAGCAATACTGTCATTTTGTTACTGACCAAAAGCAACATGATTAAGTCAAACCTGATTCAGTTATTGAAATGTCATCCAAAAGATTTAAGCTTCTGAATTCTCCAGAAGTTTTACTTAATCAATGGCTGCAACTGGTACCCATTGAAAACCTAGGTATTCAGTGTGAAAGGCTGTGTGCTGTTAAATTCCCACTTTAAATGCAAAAAATGCAACTTCATTCTTTCATACAAAAGAATGACAAGAGATCCCGTGTAAATTTTGGGTTTATTGTATAATTTGGAAATGGAGACAAAAAATGTGTGAGTACCTCACATGTATGTGCATGGGGAGACTACTCAAGGAGAACAGGCTTGGCACAAAGCTACTTTTTCAATGACTCTAATCCCTGGTTTTGGATGACAAGAATCACTGTTTAAGTACAAAAGCCTGGATGTCACTGACATTTTCAGACAATTAGAAATCTGGTTTTGGTCTGAATGTGGACATTTGAGATAACTGGTTTGAAGCTTAGGGTGTTTCCCAACCGTTGTGCCTAGTGAACTGCGACAAGTATCACCTTATCATAGCCACGCTAAACACATACCTCGCGGTCAGCAGCTCCCGGCCATTTAACTGCCCCCCTCAGCGCCCTGAGGGTGCGCGCAGGAAGTGGGAAGCGGGAGGCGGCGGTGAGAGCACGAGCGCGCACTCCATTCAACTGTCACCGCCCGCCCTCCCCCCTAATCCTTGGCTCCCGCTCCACGTGCTCGCCCGGCGCCAACAACCTCACTTCCGGCCGGCGGTGTGTATGTGTGTGTGTATGTGTGTGTGTGTGTGTGTGTGTGTGTGTGTGTGTGTGTGTGTGTGTGTGTGTGTGTGTGTGTGTGTGTGTGTGTGTGTGTGTGTGTGTGTGTGTGTGTCTGTGTGTGTGTGTCTGTGTGTCTGTCTGTGTCTGTGTCTGTGTCTGTGCATCCGTATGGTGTTAGGGCAGCTGCTGCCGCACATGCGCTTTGGCGCCTCTCCCTGGCAAGGCGGCTCCGGCCGGCGCTGCGCTCCTCCCCGTGTCCCGGGGCTGTGGCGGGGCTGTGCCCGCCCCCTTCCTCCCGCTGCCTCCTTCTCCTCCTTTCTTCTTCTTCTTCTTCTTCTTCTCCTCCTCCTCCTCTTCTTTTTTTCCTTCTCCTCCTGCTCGTGCGGCCGCTGCGGGAGCGGGCGGAGGGAGCGGGTGAGGAGAAACTGGGCGGGGGCCGCGGCCGGCATGTGAAGAGGGGCAGCCCCCACCCCGGCCTCCTTTGGGCAGCGGCCGCCTCTCGCTTCAGGCGCGCCGCCTCCCTTCCGCCCGAGCGGCTTCTTCCTCGCCTGCCCCGCGCCCGTCCCGCGGGCCCGGCGGGCCTCCCTCGCCATGAAGAAGTTTTCTCGGATGCCCAAGCCCGAGGGGAGCGGCGGGACAGCGGGTGTGGGCTCCGGCGGAGGCGGGGCGAGCGGCGTCGCCTTAGGCAAGGTGTTGGCTGTCGGGCGCTACCAGGTCACTCCAGAGGAGCTGCTGGCGGAAGGTAGTGGGGGGAGGGGAAGGGGGTGAGGGGAGGTCTGGGGCCGTGCGCGGTGTTCCCGGGACGAGAAAGGGAACTGTGCGGGCCGAGCTCGGCTGTGGGGCTACGCGGGGGCCGCGGCCCCGCTCCCCTTCCTGAAGAGCCGCTTACCCACTGTAAGCCGGTTAGGGGTGCTTTGGTGGTTCTTTCTTGTTTCGGCTGGTGCCTGGGGCTCCTTGGTGGCTTAGAGGGGAGTGTCCCGGCGTATTGTGGCGAGTCAACCGGTCGGAGATGTCCGGGGAGCAGGCCGGTCGTTCCCTGGGTCGGATGAAGCAGCTGAGGTCACTGGTGCCTCCGGTGGGGAACAGTAATTCTGTAGTAGGGGTTTGCAGCTAATCTGAGGAGACAAAAACAAAAACCAAACTAAAAAGCCAGAACAAACAAGCAGAAAACAAACCTCATGGTCTTCCTTGTAGGAGTGCAGTAGGTTTCTGGCAAGGGTCAAGAGTGAAGTTGTACTGCTCGCAACTTCTGCTGTTGAGTATTGCTGGCCTCCCTCCCCCTTGTTGCAGGGTGCCTGACTGATAATTCTTTTCGATAGCTTGCGCTTCGTGTCCTTGGACCTCCGTTGGGTCTTCAGAAAAAGTTGTATGAATTCAGATAGTCGTGTAGCTCGCTGGAATTTGTTCGTTGGGTGACTTTAATAGGCGCTGGCGTGGGCCGTCATCAAAACAGCCATGTTTGAGTTTTACTCGGGGTGGGGGGTGGGGTGTGGGGGGGGGGAAGCATTCCACCCTTGATATCTCTCCTAGTCGATGGCAGCCCATGTTGTAACGTGTAAAGTATAACTCACTTCCTAGGTCACTGAGCACAGCGTAGTCCTGCATACTTCGTAGTGGATGGATTCTGCAGCACTACAACACACAGCTTTGGATGTTGTGGGTAAAATAGCTTATTTTTACCTGTTTTATGTCTGTGCATTGCTTAGAGTAGTTTATCCATAAATGTACTTGTAAACTTTCATTGCTTAGGCACATTCCTCAACAAAAATTTAAGATCCGGTTTTAACAAGTGCATGCAAATACTATTACTGTTTAAAATGGAAACGTATGGGTACTACTTAAATTGTCCTTGCTATCTGGAAAATGTTTTAGTAGAATTATGAATTGGTACTTAATATTTAGATTGCTGTATTTTGTCTTTGGCTTACAGAAATGAGGTCAGGGCTTAGCCAGCTGCTTACCTGCTTGCCTAAAAGATGAGTAGTCTTTGCTGACAGCTTCTTCAGAGTCGTTGTGATCTGACAGAAGGTCATTTCTCTGCAGGGCTGGTCGCAGGATATAGACTTGTGAAATTATGGAAATAGGCTCCTGATCAAATGGAGGAGGTAACACAAAAACAATGTATGTAGTGGAAAGGAGAAAAAAATGTAGTGCTTGGTTCAGTTGAGCGTATTATTGTTTTCTTAGAATGTGTTAAGATATTGATATACATAACTGAGCGGGTTTGTTTGTTTGGGTGTTTTTTTTCTTCTTCTTTCTGTAGCTTGCAGAAACAAATTCATAGCCCAGAAAGGCCTGGGAGCAGGGGGAGTATGAATTTTACCAGAGTGTTGTGCCAGTTGTCTTCTGTACTTTGGAGTATGGAAAACTTAGAAAGTTTTTTGCAGCTTTTATATGGTCTCTTAAATATGCATGCCTCAGGCCAGGACTGATGGGAATTGGGGCAGTGTAAATCTGCTGCAGCTTGGGAAAAGTCTTCAAAGATGACTCCAGAGCTGTTGGGTAGGGATGACCTGAAACGGCCTAAGAGGAATAAAAAAGAGCAGGTACTAGAGCTGCATGTTTGAAGTGGCTGGGGAGTGAGGGAGCCAGGGGCCGATTCTCTTGCAGCTCTGTGACTGTAATGTGTGTGGGGAGCTGACATGTGCCCCATGAGGCTAACGGGAGGGTCATGGTGATGAAGGGCTCATGTGGTGCTTTGGTACTTACAACTGACCATGGTAGTGTGTGAAAGAGAATTGCTTTTTATCTAGGGATTACTTCTCAACGGTCAGTTTTTCCCTTGACTTAGTGACACCGAATAGTAAGTAATTGCATGTTACTGAAGTTATATTAGTCATATTGGAATGTGTTATTAATACTTAACACTTAAAAAATCCTCTGCTTAATACTCTTCCTCTTTGTGGGGAAGGAAGGAACAAACCATTTTAACCCTAGTCCCTTTGCATAAGGCATTTTTTTTCCCTTCCTTTTCTGAAACCCAGTTTTACTGAGGGTCTTAGGCTTGTCATGTAGTTCCTATTACTGCAAGAGGCTCATATCAGAGTTTTATGTTGTGTCACAAAATGTTGTTAATGAGTTAATGAATATAATGAACATAAGCTTATTTCAGAATGGATGTAGAATGTTCTCTCAGCAGTGCTGTGGTATTGATAGGCGTTTTTACTAGCTGTAAGAATTAGTAGCATTATGTCTACTATTCTGTCAGATTCAAATGGTTTAAAGACCCACCTCCCTCCCCTTCAAAATTTTGCTTTAGGAAGCTAGCTCTTGATTTTGCATCTATTTTGCATAATTGTGTATAATGCTGTCTAAAGTAACTGCATCCTTTTGTAGTAAAGCAAGTATAAGGGTTCAAGTGCTGTAGTTAGATGAAACCATCTAACAGCCTACTTGTTTTAAATGAATCTCTTCTCTGGTGACTTCTTAACCTTTGTAACCTGATGGTTAGTATGTTGTTGGATGAAGGTATTTGTTTTTAAGGTTTATTTTGCAGAGGTGGGGAAAAAGCCAGTCAGTTTTGGTTAAGGCTTGAAAATGAGTTCCAGTCCATTTGGAGGGGACTGTAGAAGTATGTGGAATAAATGACTGATGCAGGTGGAATTAAGGCCTTCTCTTTGTATCTTGTTGTTGAACAAAAGTACGTGCAGTGCATCTGAAGTTTGGGAAATTCAGTCTGATAAAAATATGGAGAATTCTGTTTTGAAAGTTACAGTTAGTGCATGGGGAGCTCTAGTTATGGTGAGTCTAATACTGGAAAAAAGACTTTCTAGTTCACATTTTGTGATAAATGCCTTATGTGGCTAGCAAGTAGTTGTAAATTTAGTGGGCCAGTGCTACTGGACTTGGAGCCATTTTCAGCAAAGAACCTTGAAGTAAAGGGAGTAGTGTCCTAGGAACAAGCATGAGGTTTTTTTTTTTCCGTTGTTGATTTGCCTTTTTTGGTCATGTTTTAGGAATGCTATGGCTGTGGGTGAGCTTTACTGAGTTGGATTTCATAGGATTATCCAATAATTACTGTTTGCTTATAAGTGCTAACCCTAGCTATAGATAAGGAATAGCCTTATGTGCTGTCAATATAGCACAAGAGGGTGATGCTCATGCCCCCAAAAAGCTTTGTGTTTGAGGAAGCACTAGGTTGGCTGCATTTGGTGGAAGCAGAATTCTCCTGTCATTAAATCTGTGCTGCTATTACATCCACCCACTGCCCCCGCCGCTCCCCCCCCCCATTTTAAACCTTCTACCAGCAAGTACATTGCTTACAGAAGTGGAGGCAAGATGCTGGAGACCTGAATGGAAAAAACTGGGTAATTCCCTATGCAGCTTGCTCTCAGAAGTACCCAGATTGAGTTTAAACTAGTGGTAGGTAATGTTGCTGTGTTCAGAAAAGGCAATAGGCTTCTCTTCAGCTTTTATGTGCATCTAAACTTGGTTGGGTTGGAGGGGTTGAACATATGTTGCTGCTCGGGCTGTAACTTTCTCTGTTGCCTTTGCCTTAGCGTATGTGGTAGGAAGTTGTTTGGTAGTGGTTATACTATTGTTGTTTTTTTTTTTTTTAATCATTGTGCTTGATAAAATGGTGAGTTTGGAGCAGTGTAGTGTTGAGCCTTCTGTATGTTGTGTTCTGTCTTAGGAAGGTGTTGTTTTTCTTAGTGATTTTACATCTGGGCCTAGAGAGAATAGCAGGAAAGAAGCCATTCAAGTGGTGGTTGCATTTAAGTTAATGAGTTCATGTTTAGATAACACGTTTGCTTCATGTATTTGATATGATGGTTAAAACTCAGTTTTCTGTGAAGAGAGACCTCTTGATAGGATAAATGAAAACCTTGTATCTTCCCTTTATAAAATTGGGAATTCTTTCTCCCTTCTTTTTAAGTCATCTCACTACAGTCTTTTGGAGTCATTACTGGCAAACTCGTGAAGCAATGAGCTGCTTGCAAGCTCTACCATTGGTGGTACTTGGATTAAGCATGCAGTCTTTGGAAGTACTTGATGACATTTATTATTCAGTTGTTCTTTTGTTTTCATACTGTTCAGTTGAGGCCTAAGAAAACTACAGCCTTAATGGAGAAGAACCCAGGTCCTGTTTTGTGTGATCCTGTGCTGTTTGTGGTTGTCATGTTGTTCCATTTTTAGAGCGCATAAGGTTCTTCATGCCCTTCTAGGATGCTTTGGTAAGTTGCATTGCAATTAACCTTTCATACACTGATTTTTAGGTCTTTAGAGTAAGTTCTCTTGTGGGGATTTGCAACTCTGGTAGCTGCTGTAAATCCTGAAGCGTGCTGCTGTACAGCATACACTGCTTTATCTCCTGTGAAGATGTGGGTCATGGGTTGTGCTTTGCTCTGAAGAGGTGAGTGAAGTGCCTTTGTAATGGATGTTAACTTTAGTATCTGAAAGACTTTAAATGTGGTGTGGACCAACTTTGTACCTCTTGAGATTGATTGTACAGTGGGAGAGCTTATTTTTGTGGTAGGTATTATGAGTACAGCTGGTGCATGGTGAATTCTGTCATGATGATGTGGTGTGCCACTGTCCTATATGGTAAGCTGAGATGTTTGTTATTGGCTTTCTTCATTAGTTTTGAGGTTAGGTTGCATGTGACTTGCCACTGCTGGTAGTAGCTGCTGTTTTACTTTCAGTTGGAATCTAGTTCACCTGTTCAGGTGGATTATGAGCTGGAAGGTTATCTGGAAAGATTTAGTTGGGATTGGTCATGTTGATAGTGTTTTTCAGAGTGTA